GTAGTGATCTCAATTTGTGTTTGTGCACTGATGATCTGGACACTTCACACACTGGTCTCCATCTGATGAGAAAGGCAGAGCTGCAATGTCTCAAATTCAGGGACTCTTGCTGATTCCCAAGACAGCAATAGTCACCTTTGAGAACTTGGGACATATTGTCCACCCTGGTGCTAGACCCAGATAATAGCACTGAAATTAATAATTTCCTGTTGTCACTGCCTAAAGGTTTTTTGGACAAAATTAAAATTTGTCTCACTTACCACATTCCATGTGTAGGGGAGCAATTTTGTTTTCTTTCACAAGGAAACTATCGTAGATTCTTAGATATATAGATAGCATATCTTCAGGTCATCTCCCAGGTATACAATGCTCTCCCACCTTAGGTGGGTAATTTATTCTTGGGAAATCACTTCTTACTGGGGCTTAGTTTATTTTAGGGAATGACTGTTGCTTTCTTGTGATAATTTTCACTCGTTTTATAGAAAATGTCAGTTTTTAGAGATGCTTAAGGGATGAAATGTCTATGTGTCTGTAATTTATTTCCAAAACCATCTACAAAACAATGATCAATGAAGCAAAATGTTAGCAATTACCAAATCTTGATCATATATTCATTATACTTCACTCTGTGAATAATCTGTGAATAATCGATGAGGCAAAAATGTTAGTAATTACCAAATCTTGATCACGTATTCATTATACTTCACTCTACTGTAAATTAGAACATTTTCATAGTAATAAGGTTAAGGGAAAAAAAGTCTCGTCTGGGGCAAATTTTCCCAAGTTATAAATGTAATTTTAATTTCGGTTGAAAATGATTAATTCATTCCAGAGCTCCAAATTTAAGCACTATTTAAGTTAAAATAACACCAAATTTCTTTACTATGGGCACAATTATTTCAGTTATTAATACTATCTTTCATAACCTGACATAAGGCAGGTTCTTTATTTTCATTATGTATTCATTAATTTGTTGATTGATTTTTAAATAATCAATATGCATTCATTTTATGTCTGTCCACTCATGCTGCTTCTGGTCTTTTGTATCTCTCGAACACTGCACAACTAAAATTCTGCTCTCAGATGGTACATTTGACAATCAGTGTATGTTACTTGAACCTTTCATTGGAGAATCCATCAGAATAGCATAGAATAGAATTAAAAAGTCTACAAAAATGATGTCGATAAAGCACCAGCAAACCAGGAACAAATTGGGAGAGAAATCAAAGAGACTGAACGAGTGTTCATAGGCAAATAGAACCAAATGTTTTGTGACAGTTGCTTCTGGTGTCAGAAAATCAAACTGGTCCTAATCAATAAGAGACATTGCCTTATAAATTGGGTGATCATTCATCCCAGCTTGGTTCACATGATGTGCCTTTTTATTATTAGTAGCATCCCCCTTCACTCTCAGAAATGTCCCAGCTTGGATGAGTTTGGTTAGCAAACTCATAAGCAATAGAGTTATTAATGAAATGTCTAGTATAGTCAAATACTCATAACCTACTGATCATATCTCAAGTTGTGGCTGTACTAAATTCACCAGGTACTAGTCATTGAGCATCTGCCAGGTACTTGGCTAAGGTCTGGGCATATAAAAATGCCCAATATTCAGTCCTTATCATTAAATTATTTCTTAACTCCATTGGTTCAACCATGTAAATAATTCTCCTATGCAATTCTTCCTTTCCAGTTCTGCCATCATGCCTTTAATTCACTTCCTATCTTATCTCCTACAAATGACTTTCCCTGTGGTTTCCTGTCCATCCAGTGTGCATTGTGTGGATCCTTCCATGCAATTACAGAGCAACAGGAGAGAACTTTCTGGCAAAAAGTGACAAGTTCACTGACTAGCACAACAGAAAAGGCACCTTTTGGGATTTTCTTCTACCCTCCTCTCCAGCCACACCCCTAGCGTTTATTAAATCTTGTAATCTACCATCCTGCCATATGAATCTACTTGAAATTACCCAAATTCTCCATGCTCATTTACTCCTCTGTGCTAGCACACAGAGATTTTAATACTGCTCTGCATTGGTCAAGTTCCCAGCAGGAAACAGATGGTCCATTCAAAAGAATTTAACCACGGGTCTCTTTTCAGAAGAGTGGACTATGTTAAGGGAAACTAAAACCAGTTGCTGTTGAGTCAATTCTGGCTCATGGCGACCCCATCAGTGTCAGAATAGAACTGTAGTCCAGGTTTTCAATGGCTGATTTTTCAGAAGCAGATCACCAGGTCTTTCTTCTGAGGCACCTGTGGGTGAACTTGAAACTCCAACCTTTCAGTTAGCAGCCAAGCAGTTAACCGTTTACTCCACCCGGGGACTCCTTAAGGGAAAGTAACAAGGAGATAAATCACCCTGGGGCTAGCAATAGTTGGGAGTCTTTAACACCACTAGGCCTGATGGGGCAACAGGAAAGAGCTTTCATCAGAACTTAGTGAGACCTGCAGGGCTAAAGAAAGCCTTCTGCAGAGGTTGTACATTTATGAGGAGGAAGAGAGTGATTCCAACTCCTGGCGGCTGCGAGGCAGAGTAAAAGAAACATCCTGACTGCTCTGTCCTGCACTCTGAATCTCTGACTGATGCTTTCCATAGGCTGAACTCAGCTGGAAGCTAGAGTCCAACAGAGCCGGACTGATGCATGTATAACAGCTTTCAGGGAAACCTAGCCAATGTGAAAAGGTGCAGAGTGGATCTAAAAGGGTAAACAGAGAATATCCGGCTCCCCTCCTCCCCCTTGAATGGACCTGGTTCTACTTGCTGTCAAAGTCTCTGCTCCTGCATCACCTCCTATGGGAATTACTCTGACCAGCGGAGGCTGCCAAGTTTATCCCCTCTGGCTTTCCCTAGCTCCTTGAATATCCCTCTCTTGGAACTTAGAGGATGTCCTTTACTCTCCTTCATCTTTTCTTGTGAAATTTCATTGACAAGATGATGCTGTTGAGCTCCAAGGGAATTTGGAATCATTTAGTCTAAGAGTCAAATGCTGAATTTGCGGCTTACAAAGTGTTCATCTGACAATCTATCTATCTGACAATCTCGGTCTTTTAATTGGTGTGTTTAGGCCATTTAAATTTAATGTAATTATTGCTGTGTGAGGGTTTAAGCCTGTCATTTTATTATGTGTTTTCTGTTTGTTTCCTCTGTTCTTCATTCTTCTGTTTCCACTTACCTGTCTTCTTACAGAAGGGTGTTACTTGGCATTTGTTAGTATTGCATTTTGATTTACCTATAGTGTTTCTGACCATATCACTTTATATAGCTTTTTTAGTCATTGTGCGAGGGATTATAATACATTTACTAAACTCTACACAGTGTACTGTTATCAACATTATTCCACCTATGTAGAAACTTTACCACCAATTATGATATAGTTAAATATTATCTTTATATACATTAATAACCACATCAGTGTTTTCATTTCTTGCCTTCAACTGTCCAACTTACTTTTAAAAACTCAAGAAGAGTCTCATATTTACTTAGCTATTTACCCTTTCTATTCCTCTTTCTTCATTCTTGATGTTCCAACTTTCCTTCTGATGTCATTTCCTTTCTGTTCAGAACTTCCTTGTGATTTCTTCCTCCACTACTAGTCTTCACCTGCATTTTCTGCCTCATTTTACTGCATTTAGATTCCAGCTATGGTGCTTTACAGATCATGCAGGTAGGTCTTTGCTTCTGAGAGCCTCTCTGCCAGTAAGCCCTGTCTTCTCTTCTGCTTCTGTTTAATTTCTATTTTCTTCCTACACTCAACGAGAATTTCTCTTTCATCAAAACACTCTAATTTTCTCTAGTTGGGATGTGTAGTGTATTAGTTGAATTGAATCCTAGACTGAATGAGAGACCATGGGGGAGGGAGGGCTCTGAGCCCTGTTTCCTGGATCATAAAATTATAGGGTTTGGGGACATGTTCTCCTGACTCTTCTTGCTCCTTGGTGGCTCCCATTGCCCTGATGAAGCTTTGTGGGCTTCCAGGGATGTGGATGAAAGCACTTCATGCCATATCAGGGCATTAGAGGACTGGAACACCACACCCACCACTGTGCCAGAATCACCCCCACCATGCTCTGTCTCCCAGTAACACTGCCCCTGTGTACATAAGGCCTTACAGGTGCTACCTACAACAGGCAAGTGCCCAGGGCTTTTCACCACACATCTCTCTGCTACATTCCCTGGTTAGAAACTGTTGTGTAAGCCTGGTCATAGTTTTCACTCTCAGAAGCAGCAACCCTATACCTAGAGAGATCTGAGGAGTGACAATGATACTTCAAAGCCCAGAATCTATCTGGCAAGCAAATAGTTTGGGATGGCCAGATACACAAGGGTTGAGCTGACAGCTAACCAGTGCAAACATGGGGAAATTTAAAATAAACAATGAAATGAAGAGCATACACACCAGTGATGGCAAGACAACCAAGGTGTGTTAAAATTATCCTGATTTTATTGAATAAATAAACAGCTGAAACCAGTTGCTGTCGAGTTGATTCCAACTCATGGAGACCCCGTGTGTGTTACAGACTAGAGCGGTGCTCCGTGGGGTTTCCAGGGCTGTGACCTTTCAGAAACAGATAGCTAAGGCACCTCTGGGTGGGTCTGAACCGCCAACATTTTGGTTAGCAGTCAAGCACTTAACTTTTTGTGCTACCCGGGACCTCCCTTTTATTGAATAGTTCTAGGCAATTATGTTTTTAAAGAAGCCAAATCAATTCACATGAAGAAAAAAAAAGAATATTAACTTCATTTATTTTCAAACTTTATTTTGACGACTCTTTACAATATTTCTTTTTCTGCAGGTGAGTGCTTTTCTCTTCTCACAAAAAGAAAACTAGAGCAATGATTACATGAAACTAGGTAGCCTAGGAGAAGTGGTGAAGCGAAACTACTGTGCAATGGTTACATTGTTACCATCAGGATCATCCTCCTTGGAGTACTCATAGAGCTTAAACTATTTGGATTTCAAAATTAGAAGTCAATTATGTGGAAATAAAGTATGTTGCATGGAGTTTTGGTCTTAAATAACCTCATCTTTAGAGATGTGCAAACAGGACTGACTTGAATAATAACTCCCATTTAGCATTGGGGAACCATTCGTAGGTAAATTCCTTCAAAGCTGGGGAAACAATAGCACCAGATCTGATTGGTAAAGCAAAGGGACTCAGGGATTTGCATTGACTTCTAGCAGAGTGACCTCGGTGCTTTACATCCTCTTGTGTCAATGCAGCAGGAAGCGCTCAGCCAACATTTGCCCGCTTTTCAGTCTCATCTGGGTTATTCCGTAGCCTCAGCTTTGTTTCCAGCCTCTGCCTCCATTCTTCTCTGAGCCTGAGAAGAGAAACAAAACACACACGGACTGGGTATTCATTTTATGGCTGTTGGTCCAGAGGAGTCTCTGGCTGGCACGGATAGTTAAGCACTTAACTACTAACCAAAAGGTTGGTGGTTTGAAGCCACCCGGAGGTGCCTCGGAAGAAAGCCCTGGCGATCTGCTTCCGAAAAGGTCTCAGCCTTAAAAACCCTACGGAGCACAGTTCTACTCTAAAACACATGGGGTTGCTATGAGTTGGGCTCGATGGCAACTGGGTTTTTTTTTTGGTTTAGTCCTGAGAAGTTTTTCCCTTTTCTTTTTTGCCTTGAGGTTGTGTGTGTGTGTGTTCAGGGTTTAAAAGATATGCAGAAGACTTACAAATTTAAATATATACATGTATGTGTGTGTGTATATATATATACACACACACATATACATAGACTCTTACTTTTGTCTCACGTGCTGTAGTCTTAATCCTCTGAACTTTGTCTTGAAGTGCAGTAGCTTTGAAGTACTAATAAAAAAAAAAACAACTTTTGATCTAGAATTCTTTATCTAGCAAAGCTATTTTTCAAAAACGGAGGTGAAATAAAGATATTTTCAGACAATAAAAAAATTTTCTTTTAAATAAGTAAAAGAAGTAGTCACCAACAGACCGTCAGCACCAGATGTGTTAAAGGAAGTCCTTCCAGCAGAAGGGAAACAACCCCAGATGGAAGTACAGATCTATGCAACCATATGGGTGCATAGGAATACTTTTTTTTCTTACTCTTCACATCTCTTTAAAAGATAATCAGTTATTAAAAGAAAAAATATTAATGATGTATTGTGGGGTTTATAAGGACTCCTGGTGGTGCAGTCGCTAACTGAATGTGGTTAACCAGCTAACCAAAAAGTTGGTGGTTAGCACCCACCAGCTGCTCCATGGGGGAAAGATGTGGTAGTCTGCATCTGTAAGGATTTACAGACTTGGAAACTCTATAAGGCAGTTCTACTCTGTCGTATAGGGTTGCTATGAGTCAGAATTGACTCAATGGCAATGTTTTTTTTTTTTTTTTGGTGGAGTTTATAACATATGTGGAAGTAAAATATACTTAGCACAAAAATTATCTTTTGTACAATAGCACAAAGGCCAGGAGGGGAGAAATGGTAGTATACTGTTGTCAGGTTCTTAAAATATATGCAAAGTGATAAAATATCACTTGAAGGTGGACTTATAAGTTAAGGAAGTATACTATTAATCCTAAAACAACTACTGAAATAGCACAAAGAGTTATAGCTAAAAAGCCAACTGAGGAGACAAAATGAAATGATAAAAAAAATAGTCATTTAATCCAAAAGAAGGCAGGCAGGAAAAGAGAGAAAAGGGAACACGGAAGAGACGAGCCAAATAGAAGAAAATAACAAGATGGTAGATTTAAACCCAATCATACAATGAATGTTAATGGCCTAAACATCCCAATTAAAATCCAAAATTGTCTAATTAGATTTTTAAAAAGCAATTACTCTTCCCCCCCTAAAAAGAAAACACCCCAAACACATAATGCCTATAAGAATCCGTTTTAAATATGAAGACACAAATAGGTGAAAAGGATGGAAAAAGATATTCCACGTTAACCCTAATCAAAGAAAGCTGGTATGGCTATGTTAGTATCAGACAAAGTAGATTTCATAGCATATAATACTACAGGACAAACAGAGTTGTTTCATAATAAAGGAGTTAATCCTACAAGAGGGTATAACAATTTTAAATCTTTATTATGCAGCTAATGATAGAGCTTCAAAATGCTTGAGGCAAAAAGTGATAGAACTGCAAGGAGAAATAGACAAATCCACAATTATAGTCAGAGATTTCAATATCTATCTCTCAACAATTGATAAAACAAGTAGACAAGAAACCAGTAAGGATATAGACAACTTGAACAACACTATCAACCAACTTGACACAACTGACATTTATAGAACACTCCACCCAACAACAACAGAACACACATTCTTCTTAAGCGCATATGGAACATTTACCAAGATAGAAAATGTTTTGGGCCATAAAACAAGCCTTCATAAATTTAAAAGGATTCGACTTATACAAAGCATGTGCTCTGGCCACAATGGAATTAAGCTAGAAATCAATAACAGAAGGATACCTGGAAAAAATCTCCCAAATATTTTGAAACTAAATAACACAATTTTAAACAATCCATAGATCAAAGAATTGGATTTCAATATACCAGCAACAATCAAAAATTGAAATTAAAAGGATCATTTAAAATATCATACAAAATAGGAAATAAGGATATATCTGACAAAAGATGTGCAAGACATATAGGCTGAAAACTACAAACCACTGTTGAGAGAAATTAAAGTAGACATAGGGAAAAGGAGATATATATATATCATGTTCATGTATCAGTGACTATAAATATTGTTAAGATGTCAATTCTCCCCAAATTGATCTATAGGGTAAACTCCTTCCTAATCAAACCCAGCAGGCTGTTTTTAAAAATAGAAATTGACAATCTGATTCTAAAATTCATTTGGAAATGCAAAGAATCTAGGATAGCCAAAGCAACTTTGAAAAAGACGAAAAAGATTGGAAGACTTACAGTACTTGACTTCAAGTATTACTATAAAGCTAAGTAATCAAGACAGTATAATATTGGCACTAAGACAAAGAGATGAACAGAACAGAATAGAAAGTCCAAAAATAGACCTACAATCAAAGTCACTAAATTGTACATGTAGAAACTGTTGGTGTAAGCTTTGCTGTGTATATTCTCAACAACAACAGAATAAATATAGAAAAAAAACAGACCTACACTCACTCCAAAAATAGACCCACACATACATGAGTAATTGATTTTCAACAAAGGTGTGAGAACAATGCAGTGGAGAAAGGACAGTCCTTAACAAATGGTGCTGTAACAATTGCATATGCATCTGTGAAAAAATAAAAGCAAAACTTCATACCTCACACCATATTAAAAAATTAGTCACAGTGAATTATGGAGGGGGAAGGAGCCAAGATGGCGGCTTAGTCAGACGCACCATAGCCTCCCTCTGCAGCAAAGACCCAAAAAACCAAGTGAAACATACAAATAACAATCCTCCAACATCAACAATCCTGAACATCAGAAAGGATGGAACGGAACCAAATACCGACTAGAAGAAAAAACTGAACGAATGCAGTGAACGAGGAGTAACACGGAGTGGAGGAGCTCTGCCAGCTGTCCCGGCTCAACACTGCCATCTTGAGACAAAGCAAGTAGGGACCCTGGGTGAAGAGTACAGGAAAGCAACTTCACGGCATTCCCATAAGAGACAGAGAAACTGCATAGACACACTTAGAAGCAAGGTGATCGGATCATGATCTGGATCTAGGGAAGGAAAACACAGAAACCAGGGCAGAAAGTCCAGGGATCCTGCCGTCCACAGAATAGAGGGAACCAGGATCCAGAGTAAGGTGTACCCCATGAGCAGCGGTTCCCGACCTCTGGGGTGAGTGGCCTGTAGGAGGCAGTGGATCCGTGGACTATTGGCAGGAGGTGCCCGCCTCCCCTCCTTGCACTTGATTGAGGGCAGGTCCTGACTGCTGGCTGCAGCAGACGGGAAGTACCAGGGCACCCATGTCTCCTAGCCAAAGGGGTGCATTCCCCCTCCTCCCACCCTCCTGATCGGAAGGGGCGGAGGATCTCATACCCCTGGCCACCCCATCTGACTGCGGACGATAATACACACCCCCTTGCTCCCCTTACCCAGCCCTGTCTGCCACCCTTCTGCCCACCCAGCGAATGGCAGTTAAGAGCAGTCCCGCGTGCTTATCCACCTGCGACTCAACCCCCACCCCCACCTGAAGAGTGGCGGTGACCGCGCAACCGTGCGTGCACCTGCCATCCACCCCCCTGACCTGGTGAGTGGCGGTGACCATGGGACCAAGTGGTGCACCCACCCACCCACCACTCACCACCCCCGACCTGGCCAGCAGCAGGTGTAATATAGCCATCTTAGCTGGGGATGGGAGGCGGGTGGGGGAGAGTGGGAATGTCTTTTATTCCTTTGTTCTGATAAGATATAAGGGGTTTCAGACACTGGCCGGTATGCTTCAGAACCTAAAGGACTGGACTGGGCCAAACCTCGTGTCTAACATTGGAGCTGATCTTTTCTAGAGTAAACAGAGCTGTCTTCCATGGAAGGCAAATCCAAGTCCTGGCTACCTCCCAGCCTGTTTGGTGGACTGATGCTCACAGTGCACACAGACCATGTAAGCCACTGCTGAAAGCAAAGTGAGCCCTTTCCCCAGAGACTAGTACTGTGCCTAGTGCCTGCTGCTCCAGCTCCTGCTGCAGCGACCCTCCACACACAGCACACCTCCAGGAAGCAAGGCAGAGTGAGAACCCAAAGGGGTTGACTTCTGGTTTTCCAAAGGATTGGAAAGTGTAATTCCTAACAAGAAGATTTAAATTTCCACCTGTAAGCAGTACTTCTAAGCAAGTAGCTTTCTAGAATGGGTTGAGAGAAGAGATGGTCGGGGGCAGCCCTTTGAAGAAAGCCACATTCTTCCAGGGCCCCTGTATCTATTGAGCTTTGCAATATTGCAAACGTTCTCTGGTCTTTTATGTGGCATGATTCTTTTTTTAACAGAAATTTTATTTTTAGTGCACTTCAACTGATCTTGTGAATGAACAGTTCTAAGTTAGAAGAGCTGTGCTGGTTTTACAGACTGTCTCCCCATACCTGTTGTTGTCGAGTTGATTCCGACTCATCACGACCCTATAGAACAGAGTAGAACTGTCCTGTAGGGTTTCCAAGGAGCGGCTGGTGGATTTGAACTGCAGACTTTTTGGTTATCAGCGGAGCTCTTAAACACTGTTCCACCAGGCGCCATCTCCCAATGAAGTAGCTTAAAACTGGGTGGTGATGATTTGACTGACTGACCTGACCACCTCTAATACCATGGTGAAACTAGTTTGGGAGAAACCAGCTTTCACTGCTTTTTGTTTTTTTTTTTTTAAATCACTGCTTACCCTATCAATTTAACAAGGAAAGGAGTCACTGTGCCAATAAAAGGATTCTCCTTCAAATTAAAAAGAAGAGATTAATTATTGACCTAAACGTAGACGTAAGACTTAAAAAAAAAACTAGAAGATGAACTTTCAACACTGAATGAATAATTTCTATTATAAGGATCAGCACAAAGCTGGTTCCTATGAGGCAGAGGTTAATGATGTCCCAAATGTCCAGCTTTTCCAGACTGCTGTCCCACTCCTTCATCTCTAACATCAACTACTCACTCTCCCCTCAGTACTCTCCCTCCCGTGTTTGAGTTCCCTAATTCGCTGAAATGTCTCAGAGAATTCATGAACCATATAAAGGAAATGGCCCATGAGTTTGTGAAAGCTGGCAAGTTCCAAACTCATGGGTCAGGCATAGGCTTCTCCCGACCTATGTGGCTGCAGGGCCTGATGAACCCAAACAGGCAGTTGAGACCACAGGCTGCAGGCTCACAAGGCTTCGGGAACTGGTGTATCAGGTCACATGACAGGCCGCCAGCCCAAGGGGCCGTGGAGGCCAGCAAATCCCAGAATCAGCAGGTCAGACAGCAAGCCTCTGGTTCAAGTCCTAAGAACTGGAGGTCAATTGATTACTAACCAGACAGGGGATCCAGATGCAGAGAGAGAGCCCCACCAGGATGCACACATATATCTTAGATGCAGGCCACACCCCAGGGAAGGGTGTAACTTTAGTAAGGGTGGGACTCGAGTCACTGCCTCCTGCAAGACTGCGACCCAAGACACACCCTACACCAATCCTGCCTCATCAACGTGTGGAGGTCAGGATCCACAACACATAAAATGGAGGACTATATTGGGCATCATGGCCTAGCCAAGCTGACACATAACCCCAACCATCACAGGTTCCATATACCTTATTTGCGTAGCCCCACTCAGTCATTGTGTGTGAGTCACCAAGACCATGGCTAGAAGGGCCGTATTAAGTAATTCATTACACCACAAACACCAAAAGCACAATCCATAAAAGAGTAGTAGTGTTCCATTGTATTGATATACCATAATTTATTTGTTTATCCATTCACCTGTTAATGGACATTTACATTGTTTCCTGTTTTGGACTATTGCACATAAAGCTGCTACCAACATTTGTGTACAAGTCTTTGTATGGATATATGCTGTCTTGAGTAAACACCTAGGAGTAGAATGGCTGAGTCATATGGTTGTCGTTGTTGTGTGCTGTGGGGTCGATCCACTCACAGCAACCCTATCGGACAGAGTAGAACTGCCCTGTAGGGTTTCCTAGGCTGTAATCTTTACTGGAGCCGAACACCAGGTCTTTCTCCCATGGAGTTGATGGTGAGCTCTAACTGCCTACCTTTTGGTTAGCAGCCAAGTGTTTAACCGTTGTGCCACCAGGGCTCCTTGAGTCATATGGTAGTGCATGTTTAACTTACTAAGAAACTGCCAAATTGTTTTCCAGAGTAGTTGTACCATTTTTACATTCCCATTAGCAGTGTACGAGAATTCCACTTGCATCACATTCTTGCCAGCTATTGATACATAGAACATGGATGAATCTGAGTGAAAGAACCGACATGAAAGATACATACTGTATAATTCTATTTATATAAACTTCTGAAAAATGAAAACTGGTCTGTAGTGGCAGAAAGCAGATCAGTGGTTGCCTGGGGATGAAAGTGGGCAGGGAAGAGCAGGAGGGAGGGGTTACCACGGGCACAAGGAAACATCGGGGGTGAGGGCTATATTCATCATGTTGGGTTTGGTGATGGTCTCGTGAGTGTACACGTGTGTCAAAACTTATCAAGTTGTACACTACAAAGACGTGCACTTGATTGTATGTCAGTTATACCTCAGTAAATGTTTTAGAAATTGAATATATTTAAAGAGATATACTAAAAGATTAAAAATTAGAAAAAGTAAACACGTGAGATGCATCTAAAGCTTTACTTAGAGGGAGATTATGGCCTTAGAAGAAAGACTGAGAAGCAATGTGCCTCACGTTTAACACAGAGAGCTGGAAAAAGAGCAACAGAATGAACCCAAAGAAAGTAGAAAGAAAATAATAATAAAGAGAAGAGCTGAAACTAACTGTCATGGATTGAATTGTGTCCCCCCAAAACATCTGTCAACTTGGCTGGGTCATGATTCCCAGTACTGTATGATTGTGTAATCTGATGTGATTTCCTTATGTGTTCTAAACTCTATCACTATGATGCAAAAAGATGGATTAGCGGCAGTTGTGTTGATGAGGTCTACAAGATTAGATAGTGTCTTAAGCCAATCTCTTTTGAGATATAAAAGAGAGAAGTGAGCAGAGACACATGAGAAACTCATACCAAGAAGAAAGCAGTACCGGGAGCAGAGCGTGTCTTTGGACCTGAGTTTCCTGCGCAGAGAAGCTCCCAGACCAAGGGAAGATTGATGACATGGACCTTCCTCCAGAACAGACAGAGAAAGCCTTCCCCTGGAGCTGATGCCCTGAATTTGGACTTGTAGCCTACTGGACTGTGAGAGAATAAACTTCTCTGTTAAAGCATCCACTTGTGGGATTTCTGTTACAGCAGCACTAGATGACTAAGACACTAACATAGATATCAATTCAAAAGTAAGAAAAGAATCAAAGGAACAGAGGAAAAGGGGAACAAAATGAAACACTTTATAGTAACTAAAATGGTAGCAACAAGTCAAAAGTTGAGTAAAAGGACTAAACTCACCAATTAATGAATAAAACATGTCAGGTTGGAAAAACCTCCAATCCGATTATATGCTATGTAAAAAGATACACGTAAATTATGACAGGGATAAATTGAACATGAAAAGACGGAAAAAGATGTATAAGCAAATACTAACCAAAAGACAGCAACAGGAAGGGAACTAACATTCCTGAGCCCTGACCTTGGGCCAGACACCCTGCTGGGTGATTTAGGTACATCTTATTCAAGCTAGGAGCCCTGGTGGCACAGTGGTTAAGCATTCTGCTGCTAACCAAAAGGTCAGCAGTTTGAATCCACCAGCCATTCCTTGGAAACCCTATAGGGTAGTTCTAGTCTGTCCTATAGGGCTGCAATGAGTTGGAATCGACTTGATGGCAATGGGTTTGGTTTTTTGGTTTTTATTCAAGCTACTGTCCCAAAGGTTGGTGGTTTGAATCCACCCAGAGATGCCTCAGAAGAAAGGCCTGGCAATCTACTTCTGAAAGATCACAGCCATTGAAAACCTGATGGAGTGTAGTTCTACTCTGAAACACATTGGGTCACCATGAGTTTGAATTGACTCTATGGCAACTGGTTGGGTTTTTGATTCAAGTCTCACAACAACCTAATGAGCTGGAATTGTTTTCTTCGTTTTGTGAAAGGACAACATGGAGTAGTGGTGAAGAGCAGAGATCCTTTGGAGCCCGGCTACCTGGATTCAACTTGGAAAAGGGGGAGAAGGATGAATAATAAGTTAAAAGTCTCTGGTCATTCCACTAACCAAAAAGTTTATTTCCTTGAAGCTTTTTGTTATATGCATAAGTACTGCACATGTACAGTTGATCTTCACTATTCGTAGATTCCGTATTTGCTAATTCACCTAAAAAAAAAAAAGCGTCTGTTGCGTAGAGTCCATTTCATAGCGACCCTACTCTGCTTTTCACAGACACATCTGTTATACCAAATTTGGGGAGTTGGTGGTGGTGGTGGTGGTGGTGATGGGATGGCTGGTGGTGGTGACGAAGGTGGTGTAGTCCTCATGCGCTAGAAATGGCGACAGAGAGAAGAGAGATATTTATAAAGAATTAGAACATATACTTGTTACCTGAAAAGAATTTTAAAAATTACTGCCCACAACTATAGACGGTGGCAGAATTGTATGCATCAAAAATTAAAATAATTTAGTCCTCTAAGATGCCCATTTGGTATTTTTCTGAGGAAGTCAATTTCGATTTTAAAAGAACAGAAAAACAAGCCACACACCTTCTCAGTGCACTTCTTCCCAGACGGTGTTCCTCTGATTCTCGGTAGTAAGTCTGTTTGCCAATTTCCTTTTCCCAGAAGCGTTTGAGCTCATTACAGGTGTTCCTGCAGAAGACCTCCCGGCGAACGTATTGACTGTTCATCCCCTGGGGAAAAAAAAAAAAAAAGCCGCTGAACCCACGTGGAACACTATCCTTCAGACTCTGCAGGGGACAGACATCGTTTGAATCCAGATCCTGCCATTTACAAGAGAGAGACCCTGGTCAGCCACAGCGCTTTTGGCAGTCTACTTGCTTGTCCTCACACACTGAGAGCGACAGTCACCTTATGGCTTGCTGTCAGGACATAGTGAGATCATGAACTCAGAAGCTCCCCACATACAGCCTGGAAGTAACAGGCACCTGGCAAATACCTCTGCTCTTCCTTCCTCCTCACAGAATCACGACTTCTCGACTTTTTGTGAAGGATGTAACATGTGCCAGGCATTTTATGCATCTCGGTCCACTGAGTTATTGAGACAACCCTGTGAGGTGGGCAGTACCTTCCTTGTTTTAAAGGTGAGAGATTTGAGGAATTACAGGACTTGCCAGTGGTCCCATCACTGGCAGAGGAGGAACTTAAAGCCAGGCAGACTTCCTACTTCTGAATGTTTCCCAGCCCTTTATTAAAGGGATTAATCACAGAAAAGTGTAATCTGCCTTAAACTGGCCCAAGTCAGATTTGGCCCGCCCCGCATGTGCAGAAGGGCCAGCTGAGATGGCTGACTGACCTCAACAGAGGATGCAGCAATAGGTGGAATGAATCAGAAGAAAAATCATCACCCAGACCCTATTCAGAAACGAGAGGTCCAATAAGAACCGTGTCACCTCCTGTTTCCTGGCCACCTTCTAGAATTTTCCCTCCCTCGTGCGTCTGTGTGGCCGCCATCTTGCTGCCCAAATCACATATAAGACCTGCTTGCCCATAGCTCAGGGAGCCGAATCTGAGGAACTCCCTCTGGGCTCCTTGCTCTGTGAATTGCAATAAAATTACTTTCTCTTTCTCAAATATTGGTGTCCAGATAATTGGCGAGTCTGAGCGCACTGGACAAGGACCCACCTTCTAGGGGTCAGTAACAAAAGGAGCCCTAGTGGCACGATGGTTAAACGCTTGGCTGCTAACGGAAAGGTTGGCGGTTTGAACCCGCCCAGGGGCTCCTCTGGAAAAGGACATAGCGATCTGCTCTTGTAAAGATCACAGCCTAGAAAACCCTACGGGGCAGTTCTACTCTGTCACATGGGATCTCTGTGAGTCAAAATTGACCTGACTGCACTGTAATGACAACAGTCACAGAAAATGGTCCTGATGTCTGACACCCAAAGCGGCTTTGAGGTGTGTGTGTGTTAAGTGTACATATCAGACACTCAGAAATGCTCACTTTTTTACATGAAGAAACTGCTTAACTCCCAGACCTCAGTGGGGCTGGCAGACAGGTCAGAGGCAGGTACTGCAGATGCTTCTGTCTGCTGGGGGCACTGCTGCAGAGGCGAGTGGGGATATGAGTCTGGAGAAGTCAGCCTGGTTTTACTCATGGGAGTTTGGACCTTATTCCAAGGGCAACGAGAAAAGCGTTGTAGGCGGGGGAGGGATGGGTCTAGATTTGCGATTTACAAGATGCTATGGGGGCTACCAGTTGCCAATGAGTTGATTTCAACTCATGGAGAGTCTCTGAATAGTGCAAATGGTTAACGTACTTGTCTGCCAACCAAAAGGTTGGGAGTTCGAATCCACCCAGAGGCCTTGGAAGAAAAGCCTGGAGATCTACTTCCGAAAACTCAGCCATTGAAAACCCTATGGAGCACAGTTCTATTCTGACACACATGGGGTCGCTGTGAGTTGGAATCAACTCTACGGCAACTGGTTTTTGGGGGGGATTAGACTGGAAGGAGGAATCCTGGGGGTGCAATGGCTAAGCACTTGCCTGCAAATGAAAGGTTGGTGGTTTGAACCCACCCAGTGGCTCTGAGGGAGGAAGACCTGACGATCTGCTTCGGTAAAGATTGAAAAACCAAAATCAAACCCGTTGCCATCAAGTCGATTCTGACTCATAGCGACTCTACAGAACAGAGTAGAACTGCCCTATAGAGTTTCCAAGGAGCGGCTGGTGGATTCAAACTGCTGACCTTTTGGCAAGCAGCTGTAGCTCTTAGCCAGACTCTGTGGGGGCAGTTCTACTCTGTCAGGTGGGGCCATCACCGTCAGTGTGCAGAAAGGAATTTAACAGCACCAGATGACCCTCTTAGGATGTACTCCTTCAGGCCCTGGGTTTGGCCTCCAGAATCTTCTGGAGATACCCACATCTGTTTCCGAGTCCTTCACAGGGCATTCTACACTCTTTTGCTCTCTTTGTCTCCCTTTTTCTTTCCTGCTAGAGTGTGACTCAGTCTCTCTGAGCCTCCATCTTCCCCAAGCCCCATCCTGGGACTGCAAAAGACTGCCCTAGCTGTTCCAGCAGCTCCAGGAATCTGACGTTCTTCGTGAATCTCGTCTCCTCTAGAGCAAATGTGTAGCTGCACCTGCCCTGGCTGCCTAACGCCATCTGCTGTCTGCTCAGCCACAGGGCCCGGAATCACATCCTGACCAGCCAGGACGCCAAGGAGCTGAGGGCAAGCACTAGGTGGGGAAGCATGTGCTGTATCATCACCTCAAAGCCTTAGCACTCTGGGCAAGTGTGTTCTTTATTTGCTCTGTGCCTCTGTTTTCTCATCTGTGAAATGGGATTGTTCTGAAGATTAAATCAGATCATGTTCATTAAAATGCCTAACACAGATGTGCATTAAGCATCATCCTGCCTGCCTGACTCCAGTGAGCTCTGTTCTGGCCCCCTGATTGTCTCAGGCTGTTGTCTGGCATGGGGACACCATCAGCCAAAGCTAATAGAATGTAATTGACAGTTTTTTTTATTTGAGCATAATACTGAATATTTGGTTTCTTGTGTACGTGGCTCAGATTCCTTTATCTCTGCCCCTGGTCTGCTGGAAACCGTTAGGAATGTTTAGATGACAGGGCGTAAGTCTGTTCTTAGGTTGTACAATGTCTCACGTAGGACCATGTCCAGAAGAGCGTTTGGTAAGAGGTTCTGATACGTTTTGTCCTTATATCCTTTCCCTCATGTACATCAGAGTCCAGCCTCACCATGCCCATTCATTGGGAGGGGTCCCGCATGTACAGAAGGAAGATACACCCTTTTCCAAGGAAAGCCGGAGAGCCCACTGGGCTGAAGATGGGCGTCCATCTCCACTGTGTTATTTTACAACCTGACCGGCTGTCGTGCTGGAAACTGCTGGTGACACAAGGGTGGAGACAAGTAAGATCTTCTCTGAGGAAACATGCATCTCACTTTTAGACGAACTACCCTGTCTTCTTCTTAACTTGTTTTAGTCATTGTCCCCAGTGTGAGCAGAACTGTAGCAGCTGCTGTCACCTGTTCTGTAGCCTCAAGGGAACAAAACTTATGATAACTTTAGAAATAATGTACTTTTAGGAAAATACAAAATAAGGCAGGATGAGAGAATTACAGATATCCAACACCCCAGCTCCCCACCACCCCGCCCCCCGCCACCAAGGGCCAACACAGGTCACTTCAGGTGTAACGGGGAGTGAGGGATTGCAGACTTGTCGCGGGCACCCGCACCCTTCTGTGGGACAGGTGCTGGGGTGGAGGAGCACAAGGAGAGTCCCATGACCTGGTGTGGAGGGTTTAGGGGAAGGGACATGCAGGATGAGGCCTGCTGGGTGGACAGGAGTGACCAGGATACAGGAAGTGGACTGTGCAGAGGTCTGCAGCGAGAGCCCTGCAGAGCCAGAGTGACAGAAAGCAGATCAAGGGTCTCCTGAGGCTGGAGATTGGGGGCAGGACTGATGGCTAGCAGGCATGAGGGAGGGACTTTTAGGGTTATGGAAATGTTCTATATCTTGTCTATAGTGATGGTCACAAAGCTGCATACAATTGCCAAAGCTTATCAAACTGTCCTTAAAATGGGTGAATTTAGTCCCTCGGTGGCACAAAGAGTTAAGCACTCAACTGCTAGCTGAAAGGTTGGCCGTTAGAACCCAGGCAGAGGCACCTTGGAAGACAGGCCTGGTGATCGACTGCTGAAAGGTCTCCGCCTTGAAAACCTATGGAGCAATTCTACTCTGACACACATGAGGTCACCATGAGTCAGAATCTGCTCACCAGCAGCCCACAGCGACAACAAACTAGGGAAAGTTTCTTCTGTTTCAGGACTAGAGAGTCCTCCAGGCCCTTTCTGGCTCTAACTTACTGGGAGACTGTCAGCATCACATTCATGAGGGTTAGTCCTTCCTTCATGAAAAGCACATGTTTCTATGAGTATTTATGTTTTGGTTTCCTCGCTTCTAAAATGCAGACAACTGCTCCATTTGGAGAAGTGTGATGAGGAGAATCTCAATAGTTGGAAAACGCTTTGGAAACACAGAGACTCTCCTCAGTAAATAAATAGCTCTGTTCCCCTTCATGTTCTCAGCGAGAACACCATCCACCAGATCACACCTCTGTAGAGGGAATTAGCACTACCACGTCCAGCCAATCTCCACCACTTCGAAAAAACCATAAATCTCAATGGCAATTATGAACTTTAGTTCACCAAACTAATTAATGCTTACAGAGAACTACAGTGTACAGCATCTTCACATCAATTCAGTTAAATAATATTTGCTGAACGTTTATCACCTGAGAGGAATTTACGCTGCACAAGGCGTCGGCTAATGTTCAGTGAAGCAGCTAAAACAAAGGAACATTTGTCCCTTATGAGTCCTAATGCTGTGCCAACAATTTAATTTGCCAAGTCTCAGGTTACTCGGAGTATTAAGCCCAAACTGAGGAATGTGGGAGTTTTTTTTTTTTTTTTTCCCAGCGTTTTGGCTTACCTGACCATTCTTAGGTCTCTTATACACCAGTGACTATGCATGCTGCCAATGTACTTCTTGCATATCCAACACTTCATAAAAGCAACTATTTTGTGATGTTTTTCACAACATTTCAAAAAGTACTGTTTAATCACTTAAAAAAAAATATTTTTGATCGTAGCTTGAAACAGAACAGCAGGGTTCCAGTTTCAGGTATGATGGAGTAGACACACTC